GGCCTCAGCCTCCCCTCCGCCCGCCCGCGGGCCAGCCCCTGGGACTCAGTGCAGACGCTTGAAGGACCGGGCTTCTTCCTGCCGCTCCCACTGACTGCCAGGTCCTGGGGGGCCCACCCGGGAGAGGGCCCACCCCGGGGGCAGGCGCACTGGCCCTCCTGTGGCTGGTCCTCGTCACATTAGTAAGGTGAACACGAAGGTGGCCAAGTCCCGGGCCCACCAGACCCTGGGAAACCCGGCCCCGCCCTCAGCGCCGTGGTCAGCGCCCCCACAGCCTTCGGCCCTCGAACGGGCAGTGCAACCGCGTAGCCGGTTTCGGGGAGAAAACAGGCAGAGAGAGGCCCTGAGACTCTGCCCTGCGCAGCCAAGGACGCCAAGCCTTCGAGGGACCAAGTGGAGGCCTGGCCGGGCCGCCCAGGGGGTTAGAGCGTCGTCCCAAAAAGCCCAGGTTGCGGTTCGATCCCCGGTCGGGCACGTGCAGGAACCAGCCAGCGTGCGCATGAGCCACGGGGGCAACAACTCGGTGCTTTTTTCTCCCGTCCTCTCTCCAAGTTCCACTAAAAACCTGAACCGGAGCCCCTCCACCTGGGGCCCTGGCGTCGGAGCTAAGGTGCTCTGCTTAACAGGCTCCCAGCTGCCCCTCGGCGAGCTCGTCTGCGGAACCAGGACTGGCCTGGTGGGCGGACAGGTGCTGACCTAGTTAGCGCCTCGCAGCTGGCATCCTGGCTCCCGAAGGTGGCAGAGGGCACGGGCGGCAGGATGAGCTGCTCCTGGCCACCCCCACAGCTCCCCTGGGAAGAGATGCTGGCCCACCCCAAGGGAAGGGCACCGCCTCCTCCCAGAAGCCCCTTCAGCTGTGCCAGGGGCTCCCAGGGGCTCCCAGGGGCTGGCAGCCTGGCCTGCCCCCTCCAGCCCGTCTCCCCACACCCGGGCCGCCCGATTGGGAAAAACAGGCACCACTTTCACGGGGGTTTGGGAGGGACGGAGGCATGAGCTGGTGGGACCACTTGGAAAAGAGTCTACTCCTTCCTGTGAGACCCCGAGTCCAAGCTGCACCCCAGCAACACCGCAGATTTCCTGCAGGGGCTCTGTCCCGGGCACCACGGGGCGCCCACAACCCGGTCCCCAGTGACGCTGAGGGCGACACGCTCCCCAGTGATGTTGAGGGCGACACACTCCCCGGGAGACGCTGAGGGTGACACGCTCCCCGGTGACGCTGAGGGTGACACGCTCCCCGGTGACGCTGAGGGTGACACGCTCCCGGGTGACATGCTCCCCGGGTGACACGCTCCCGGGTGACGCTGAGGGCGACACGCTCCCCGGGTGACGCTGAGGGCAACACGCTCCCGGGTGACATGCTCCCCGGGTGACACGCTCCCGGGTGACGCTGAGGGCGACACGCTCCCCGGGTGACGCTGCGGGTGACACGCTCCCGGGTGACGCTGAGGGTGACATGCTCCCCGGGTGACATGCTCCCCGGGTGACATGCTCCCCGGTGACGCTGAGGGTGACCGCAGTGGGCGCCCAGGGCACTGGCGTGGCGGATGGACAAGCGGGGAGCAGGTCCCCACAAAGGTCGGGGCCAGGCTCCTGGGGACCAACCAGGCCACCCCTCGACCCTCAGTGGAAGGCCAGGGACCCAGCCACCGCCCCACAGGTCTGGGCCCAAAAGCACACAGTCCAAGGGGCCACCTCCAGGCCCTCACATCGGCCGGACACACGCTCCTCTTCCGTGAGGCCACGTCCGCCCCCCCCCGGCCCCCCCCACCCCCGCACAGACAGAAACTACCTTGGGGGTGGGGTGGGGTACCTGCCACCTGTGACCAAAGGGCTTTCCTTACTATATAAAGAGCTCCCGCGAGTCACCAACATTCACACAGCGCGGATCACACTGGGGGCACGGGTCCCAGCACTCATCACTGACTCAGGCTGTCTCCACAGCCACCTACAAGGTGGGTGTCTACTCAGCGTCTACACTTCACAGGTGACCAGGAGGCTGAGCAGCCGCCCCAGGTCACACAGGTACGTCCGTCAGGGGGTGCAGTGTGGCTCGGGGCCATGCAGCCAGCCTCAGTACAAGAGACGGAGGGGCCCCAGACGGCGTGGCTCAGTGGATAGAGCATCAGCCTGCAGACTGAGGGGTCCCGGGTTCGATTCCCGGTCAGGGCACAGGCCCGGGTTGTGGGCTCCATCCCCAGCAGGTGGTGTGCAGGAGGTGGCCGATCCATGATTCTCTCTCATCACTGATGTTTCTCTCTCTCCCTCTCCCTTCCTCTCTGAAATCAATAAAAATGTATTTTTTAAAAAACAACAAACGCAGGGGTAGCCCTAATATTCATGGGCACAGGGAGCCTCACTCACAATCAATGAAAACAAAGCCTTGAGAGATGCCATCTTCCGCCCGGCCAGCGTGGCTCGGTGGTTGAGCGTCGGCCTATGAACCAGGAGGTCAGGGTTTGATTCCTGGTCAGGGCACACGCCCGGGCTGCCGGCTGTGCAGGAGGCAGCCTATCAATGATCCTCTTTCATCGTTGATGTCTCTGTCTCTCTCTCCCTCTCCCTTCCTCTCTGAAATCAATACAAAAATATATTTTTAAAAGCGAGATGCCATTTCCCACCTCTGGGACGGGCCGAGAGGAATGTCTGTGACGGAGCTGGCAGGGCCGAGAGGAGACAGGCCCTCCCGCACGCAGGCAGTGCCGCTGCCTGTCCAAGGTCTGGCCTCTGTGGACCACAATTTGGCCACTGTCCTGAGCTAAAAGCGCGCATCCCTCTTCCCCAGGAATCGACTTCTAGGAATCCACCCTACAGACGCACACACGGCAGAGGCGAGCGCAGGATGGTCATTCCCACACTGCGGACGTGCCGGGATCACCTCACATCCCATCGGCTGGGGACTGGCAAAGTCGGTGATGGGATGGGGGCGAGTGACAGCCCCAAAGCTGCGGCCACAGCCACAGCTGCAGCCACAGCCACAGCCGTCACACAGCTAACACCCACGCCGTGTTTACTATGACCAGTGCCAACCAAACAACTCCGGGGTCTCAGTCTTAAAGGAAGAGGTGGGGGCACAGAGAGGTTAAGACAGTGGCCCAGGGACACACAGCGAGTTCAAGCGGCAGCGCCAGGACTGGGACTGGGTCTGGGCTCCAGATCACTGGGCTCAGCGGTGCTAGCCTCACGGAAGGAACCCAGGGGCCCTTTTCTTGGGAGGAGGGGGGTGTCACTGATCACATCAGGGTTGAAATGGTTGTGTGGAGTGCCAGGCGCTCTCTCCGAGAGGCAGAGGGAGGCGGAGGGGTGGTGGGGAAGGGGCAGGCGAGCATGCCCACCTTGGGGGAGAGGGGCTCCATCAGGGCAGGGACAGGAGAGTTACCTTTTCCCACATCCCGTTTTGTACTGTTTTCTTTTAAAAAAAAAATAACTTTGTTGATTCCAGAGAGGAAGGGAGAGGGACAGAGAGATAGAAACATCCATGATGAGAGAGAATCATGGATCGGCTGCCTCCTGCACGCCCCCCACTGGGGATGGAGCCCACAACCCCGGCACGAGCCCCGACTGGGAATCGAACCCGTGACCTCCTGCTGCATGGGATGACGCTCAATCAACTGAGCCACACCAGCCGGGCTTAACCTATTTTTCAAAGACCTCCCCCCGCCGCTCCCGTCCCAGACAGGAGTCTAAGGACCCGGGGAACCACCCCACACCCCACACACTCCCCTGGAGGGAGAGCACAAGCCATGCCGGCCTCCAAGCACCTCCTCTGTGGGGGAAGCCAAGCAGCCACCCCTGGAGGAAGTGGCACTGCCCACAACCAGGTGTGCGGCCAGCGGGATGGGGAAGGGGGAGGGGGGCCGTCTAGGAGGAGGACAGGGAAGAGGAGGAGGGAGGGGGCCGCCCTCCCGGCCCCAGGACACAGTGTCTCCGTGTGGGCTGCCAGGCACCCTCCGTCACCCTGGACCGGAGCCCTCCCCGTGTCGCCTCCTGCTGTGCCACGGCCCCCAAGGCCACGGCCCGGCTCCGAAGGGGGAGGAGAGAACGGGGAAGAGGGGAGGAGGCCACCCAAACACAGACAGCCCGCCCGGCCCAGAGCGTCCCCTCCGCCAGGGGCTGGTCCCGTGGCCTCAGTAAACAGGTTTCAAAACCATTAGTCAGCACTTTGGCCTGCAGATCAGCCGCCTCAGGTTCCCACGTCCCCAAGCTAAGCATCTGGGGTGCTGGACCCCTGCTGAGCCCCCCACCACCACCACCACCAGGCCCTGGGGACAGTGGGGGAACCTGACTGTGGCCTCGGGGCCAGCCAGGCCGGAGGTGGCCTCATCCCACAGGCGACCGCCTCCCTCCTGCCCCGGGTGGCCGGCACCCCGCTGCCAGCAAGTCGGAATCTCCGGTGGCCCCTCCCCTCCCCCCCTCTGACGCAGGGACAGACTGGCCAATGCCAGGCCCTGGAGCAATGTCAACAAACAATGGGCCTGCCCAGACAGGTGGGCCCGGCCGGCCGGATTACCGGGGCCTGGGCCGCTGACAGGACTCCAGGTCAGGGCCACCAGGTCAGACCTGAGCGCCAAGCGGTAACCAGGCCTCCCTGAGCCGGGGCAGCCGATCCAGCGCTGGGCCCGGGACCCAGCAGCCCTTCCCTGGTCCAGCAGCCTGGAAGGTGGGCACCCTCCCAGCGT